TAGCAGATCTATTCCGCCAAGACCAAATACATTAACATTGTCATGTACATTACCATGCCAATCCCTCTGAGAGTTGTCATGACAGAAATATATATATATATATTTATATTTATGACCTAAAATATATTTTTTATAGTTATATTTTTACTTTTTTACAGATCCTTGTTAATCTTATAAGCAGTTGCGTATGAATAAATAGAAGCAAATAGACTAACAAAAATAGATGAAAATATGACAGCTTGATAATCATATTTTAATGCAACATTTCAGTCTTGCAAGGCTGCATGATGAAAATATTATTGAATATGATTTGCAAGCTATAGCAGTGTGTGGGATTCATCTATATTTGTTACACCTTAGTTTTCAATTTTTCCATTTTATAGATGTATTTTATACCTTTTAATCCTATCCCCAACATTAAACATACCCACCAACAGTATTAACGTACATATTATACATATTATATAGTTAGATTTGAACAGCTAAACCTAAACATAACCAAGTAATTGCAATAATTTATTCCAAATATCAGTACCAAAGTAGTCCAAAAGACAACATGCAGCAGTATCAGCTACCTTGATAGCGGGAAAAGGTTTATATTTGCTATTATTGCCATAAACTAAGACTAATGAATTGTGTACAATCAAACCAGGAACATGTATTAAGAAAGTAAATAGGGCCAATTTTGACTGGAAGTCGACTTTAAAGGTTAAGGAGACTGTAAAGGACAGCCAAAAATTTACACCAGAGCTTTAGTAGCTCAGAGGACTTTTATATCACAGGCCTTTTGTTTTTATTACAAGTGCTGGATAAATAGAGGAGCGCATTATGAGCTGTCCTTGGCGTTAACTGCTGCGGCAATAACCAAGAGTGACTGCGAAGAACGCTTATGAAAAAGAAGCGTGGTCGGAAACCAGTGATTACATTAGGATGGCTGAAATATTTCATTGAAATCCTCGGATGTTTCTATCGAAGACATACATTCTGTTTACCTTCTGTTTTCGGCGTGCCTCTTAAGATGAAATGAAGCAGCGAAGTATAGATCACGAAAACAGTTACAGCCCGACCTTGGAAGAATAACTGGCCCTTTATAGAAGGACTAACAACAAAGAGCATTTGGAAGACACTGTGCTCTGAATGGGCAGATATACTGGGCCAGTGAGCAGTGTGGGATCCCAACAAAAACTTCCTGGATAAGCTGTGTCTTGCATTTCAAGTCAAACTGAATGAAGTGCCACTGGCAAGACTCCGCTCATGCCAGGCCTATGGGCAACCACACATTTAAAAGAGCTGTTCCATATCAAGCGGAGAGGACATCCGCTTCCCTTGTGCCTTTCTTCCTTAACTTCCGCCCACCCCTTTCTCCATTTATGCCATTGCTGTTTGCCATGCAACTTAGCCTGCAGCTACATACACACACATTTCAAACCTCGGTAAAGTTGAGCTATCCAAAAGCGATTTCCATGCCATTTTATCGTCTGTCATTGCTCAGTCGGAGCCTAGTTCAGATTCCAACACTTAGCAGTTTCCATCACGTTGGCAGACTGCTGGAATATGACGGCTTGTCCAATTCATTGTGAATTCGTCTTTCTCGTGGGGGACAAAAACCCCTGCTACTCTCTGAATGCTGTGTAAATAGGTTCTCTGGTTTGATCCCACCAAATGCCCTTCTCTCAGACAATTAAACTGCACCAAAGCCAAAATTATAGCGGGGATTCTCTCTTAATAAGTGATTTGTCAGAGCCCGTTTGAAACATGACAGAAACAGCTCCCTGAGAGATTTCAGCATGCCTGCGCGTTTCATAGGAAATGTGTAGCCAACATCAGAATATTATTTTATTAGAAGCAAATAATTGATCCTGTAGTTGGGGAATGGTTTTAATGCAATTCTTTAAAAACACCCTTTAGGCATTAAACGTTCTATTAACAGCATGATGCATC